AGCAACACACACATAAGTGTCTATTTAAACAATTCTTTACACATTTGAAATGCAAGTTAACCGCATATTCAGTCTGACAACGAGAATGAGAGCAGATTCTGTTTACAACGCGTTGTGCGTGTTTCACTCTTTTAGAGCGTTAAACGATAACAGGCGTCGTGTAGTTAGTTATATTCTTGCCTGGAACGGTGGAACTGTAACAATCACTCGGCTCATTAAAGGGTTGAAATTAAACGCGCGTAAATGTATCAGTCAGTGAACTGGAACTCGTTCTTTGTTTAAACTGAAGAAACAATGTTAAACCTGTTCTCGGACAAGTTTCGCTCAGAAAACAAAAAATCAGCGGGGGGAATTTAAGATGAAATCGAAAAATAACAGACTACAGATCGACTCCCATTATAGGATCGAGCTAAACTCGTTGGCTCCGACTAACATGCTGCTGTCAGTGATGCTTCACAGCACCTACGCGGCGAATAAATCTGAACTTACTGGTTTTGGTCATGATGAATACAGTGCATGATAATGGCGAATGACATACATGTTAAAAATGTGCAGAGCAGCTCTGAATCTGCAATGTCTGGCTCATCATATGCAGCCTATTATTCCTCCAGCAGACACCAGAAAGGAAATTACCAGTTTTTACACATTTCAAAGCACTGACATAGAAGCAAATCTCGACGAATAGGCCCACGGCGCATAAAGGAAGGTAAAATGTGTTAAAGAAAAGCCGTTCGTGTTCGCAGACACCCACGGCTCACTACTACGACAACGTCCAGTCTGAGACGCAACCAAAGCGTGCGATGCACGCAGATCGAGTCCACATCGTGGAAAATACATCGAAATGGCTTTACGATTAAGCAAATCTTTTTGTACTGTTCACAAATATGTCAACCGGGCAGGCTAAATATAACTCCGCCTTCTTCTTCAAGCGGCCCTCGCTCTTCAGAGTAATACAAAATGTGCGCACGCGAGCAAAACGCTTCCATCCAAATCCACACTTAAATAGTTGAACGAAATATTGCTGTTACCTGCCGTGAAACCAGTCTTTGCAGGCGTCGCATTCGATCATAAACTGGGTTACGTCGTAAGGTAATCTGCAGATGCAATAGACGGGTACAGTCGCCATGTTAGATCAATTCACAACAACAGCCGGAGAGATGGATGGGGGCAGCAGGAACCTCCCGTAACACAACTACAGCGATATGAAGAGCCGCGGAGCTGCTCCTACGTCCATTCGAACGTTCCCCCGATCAGACGTTACAATGTTACGATGTTAAAATGTTTCCCGCGCTGCATTGACGTGTGCATGCCCCCTGGTGACTATACAAGCGCTGAGACTTTCATAAAGCCCAAGAAAATGCATCCTTTCATTGTAATATTGTTACGTCAGTCTACAAGACGGGAAAAATCGCCTCGGTCATGCTGGTCCAGATGAATGGAGCTCATTAAAGGCTTCGGCTGCTTCTCCGGGTTTCCCGGGACGATAGAAAGACGAAAAACCACCGCCAGGGATCTCCAGCCAACCGTCGAACCAGCTGCAGCAGAGTCTATGACACGTTAATAAGGTCTCGTGCAGTTATAGAAGTGAGAGGATTAAAAGAACGGGTTCGTTTAAATTTTGACAAGCTGCTCATTTTTAACTATAGCTAGAAATACGGCATTGCGCAAACTAAAAGCAAGTAAGATGATTAGTTAAGTCCGCTGCAGTTGTAAAACGTAATGTTTTTTAATAGAAGAAAACGTAAGTCACAGGAAGAAATGTGGGGTTAATTAAAAACTAATACACAACACGCATATGATTTGTGAAAACATTCCACAGATACAGATTCCTTGCAAATGAATCAAAAGTCATACATATTTTTAAAAATGTACCATCAGAGCATGGTCGAAACAATTCAAGTTTCGTGCCAATACATCAAAGTATTATAAAATAAATAAAAAAATTAATTAAAAATCACAATCAAAATGACCGACTGGCAATATGACTGACCACCAAAGTTTGTCATTGCTACTTTGTATGACCAAAGGAAATTTAGTTAAAAAAAAACGCAGACCAGAGGCCAGTGTCTATGATCAAATCTAGTTAGCTGCATATTAAAATAAAATTGGGTCAGCTGTGTTCACACAGTTCAGTTACAACTTGAAACGTAAGTGCAATTTTTACCTATTGGTGGTACCCAGATGGTCTGAGATAGAGATTTGTTGTAGTGTTTAGACCTCGGCCTATCAGTGTGCTAAATGTCTTTTTTTTTTCTTTCTCAGGGCTGCTATAAAGTTAAACTCAGAAAAAGAGGAAGAAGAAACTAAGTTCTTGGTTTACAGAATACAAAATAGTTCAATAATTAGAAACAAATATTTTTGAAAAATATTTACTAAGGTTTATATTTATACAATGTTTTTACAGGTTTTGTAAAGGTAAATTTAAGACTCTAATACCAAGTAAATACAATTTCAGGGATAAATTGAATGGAACACAATACGTTAATATGATCTCTAAATGTAAATGTCTTGTATTAGCAATGCTTCAAAGTTTGAAAATACAACTTCCAACAAAATACAACTTTGCACCCAACCACTAGAATATGGAAATAACTTTTACTGTACCTTCTGATCACACTGCAAAAAAGTGATGTTCTTCCTGTATTTTGTTTGTCTTGTTTTCCAGTGCAAATGTCTAAAGCTTCTTAAATTAAATTCTTAAATCTTGTATGAGAAATTGATCAATAAAGTAAGTTTATGACTACAAGAACAACTACCTGCCAATGGGCTCAGAAAAATCCATTTAATTCAAAGGGAACACAAGTTTTCATACCCCACTGACAGAAGTATGTTCTTGTTTTAAACATAAGCTCATAATTTTTTTTTTTTCAATTCTCAAAAACAAGACATCAGATGTTTAATCTGTAAATGTATCTTGATTTAAAGGGGTCATATGATGCGATTTAAATTTTTCCTTTCTCTTTGGAGTGTTACAAGCTCTTGGTGCATAAAGAAGATCTGTAAAGTTGGATCGCCGGATCAGCTTTCACCGTGGACGAAGTGGAGTCCAGCCCGGGGTCGTCACATGTGGCTGCCGCAAGCCCTCCGGACGCTCCTTCGTCGAATCCACCAACCGCGCCGTTCTCAAGCTCACCGGCCTCCTCTCACTCAAGCCGGCCTCCGCTCACTCTAGGCCGCCGCCCCTCACTCTAGGCCGCCGTGTGTGACGCTGTGTTTCGTTGTGAAAGCAAAACTACTTTGTTTGGTCTTCCAAAAGAGGACAAGACTAGAAATCAGTGGTTAA